AAAACTAGTATATATTTGAATGTATTTGTATACATATTATTGATTGATGTTCAGGTTTTCTATTAATTGAGCTCTTTGTTTGTCAATGATTCAAATTTGAAACTGATACATTATTCAAATGTATTTGTACACATATCATTGATTAATGTTTGAGTTTCTTATTGATTGAATTCCTTGTTTGTTAATGATTCAAATTTAAAACTAGTATAATATTCAAATGTATTTGTATACATATTATTGATTGATGTTCAGGTTTTCTATTAATTGAGCTCTTTATTTGTCAATGATTCAAATGTGAAACTGATACATTATTCAAATGTATTTGTACACATATCATTGATTAATGTTTGAGTTTCTTATTGATTGAATTCCTTGTTTGTTAATGATTCAAATTTAAAACTAGTATAATATTCAAATGTATTTGTATACATATTATTGATTAATGTTCAGCTTTCCTATTAATTGATACACATTAGAAGTCTTTTTATAATAATGATTAATATCTCTTATATGGATTGATTGGCTTCTATCTTCATTAATGATTCAATCTATAATAAATATGTAATTCAGATACATCTTTTAATACACTATTGATTGAAGTTCGAGTTCTCTATTGAATGATAACCACATTAGTCTTATTCTTCATTACCTACTATTAATGTACTAATCAATTTGCAGGTTTTCTTGCAACTGATTCATTTCTGTGTGTGATCTTCAATCATTAATCTGACTGGCACGACTGGCTGTATTAGTAAACGCAAGCCGGGGCACATTAGTCGATAGTGATGCTCTCGCAGAGGCTCTCCGCGAGGACCGAATCTGGGGTGCTGGACTCGATGTCGTCGAAGGAGAACCAAATATCGGGATTGACCATCCACTCGTGAAGGAACCGCGATGTGTTGTATTACCTCACATCGGAAGCGCGACGTTCGAAACGCGTCGTGCTATGGCGACGCTGGCGGCGAGGAATGTTATTGCCGGTGTTCGCGGCGAGGCGATGCCTACTGAGCTAGATCTGAGTGGTCGAGTCTAATATCGGCGCAGTTAGAAACGAAGTTTGCATTAATATTTTCAAGCATTTGCAATTTTATACGGAGGAAATTGTAATTTCTGAAACTGTCTTGTACATGGGAAACATCGAAGGCAAGCAATTACAACGAACAAGTACATTCTGGGTATGCATGAAAAGGAAGCGCAAGGAAAAACAAGATGAAGAACTTAGAAAAACAGGATGAGATTGTATCACGGATACTACCACGACATGCTGTCAATGTTCAACTGAAGAGTTGTCTTATCTTTCCACTCCAGTAGCTCCGCCGCCTTCTTCCAGCCGCTTCTGGCTCGCGCTGCCTCTGTCGGTGCGATGTACCCCGATGCCCGGCCCTGCGCAACGCGCTGATGCTGGCGGAACACAATGTGCGCTGCTTGGAACTTCTCGAGCGCCGTTTGCGCAACACGCATCGATTTGGGAATCTTCCCCTGAAGAAGCTTCATTACTTCGTTGATACCCTTTTCTTCGTCATCATACGCTAAAGAATTAGACATGGCAGTTAAACCCTCAAAGTCGAGTGGTGTTTCTTAGAAAATACATACCTTCTTTAATCTTCTCGCATACAGAGGCGACAACAGTCGCAAGTCCCGAACCAACATGTATCGCAGCAGTTCCCACAAGCCCAAGTGGGTGAGCAAGCGCCGTAGCAGCCCCACTCAAGAAAAGACCCTGCGCAATAAACCTAAACACACGACACATCCATCCCCAAAACTTCTTGCGGAAAGAGTATTTCTCGTGTGTACGTAAAACAGCGTCGTGTAAACCGTGTAGACCTTCTTGCATCTTCTCGACGCATGCAGAGATCTCGACGGAGTGTACGTGCACGTCTAGAGAAAGAGTTTGGAAGTCGTCTTGTACTTGAGGTGCAAATAGGTCGCCACCCTGTGCGGAAGAGGCGAGAGTGGAGAGTCGTCGGTCCATGAGCCGTGCGAGGGCCTTGTACGAGGAGAGTATGTTTCGCGAAGCGGTAAGCATCTTGACCGCATCATCGGCGAGTACGGTGATCATGGAGACGATATTCGCCTCGACTTTGTCTTTCCTTCCTACGTCGGCACTGTAAGAACAAATATGTGAGCCCTAGTCTCATAGCCAGGTTGTCAAGGTAAGGGAGAAATAACGAACCTGTTGAGCTGTTGAACCCACGTAGAGAATATCCTACTGCAGAGATCCATCTCCTTTACGGCATCCATGAGGAAAGTACAGTGCTCGGGTTGCAATGAAATCTCGTCAGCGGATATCCCATAAGTGGGTCCACCTGGATAGGGTGGAGGCGGACCATAGGCATACGGAAGATAGTATTCCGGTTCAGGAAAACTAATTGCTGGCGCAGGCGGGTTATATCCGGACCGAGGGCCATAGCTTGAGCGGTTTCGAGCAGGCTGATTCGAATAATGTGCATGCGACTTTCTATGTCGGTTGCGTCTCTCGTAATTTTCACCTGGGTACACAGCAGGGAAAGGACCATGAATTGACTGTGTACGACGCAAGTTGCCTTGCGGGGATCCAACTACGTATTGCACCTTGGGCCCCAGTGGAGGTGCGTTCGTAACTTGTAGAGGAGGTGCGGATGAGAAGCTCCAGCCATAATTCGGAGAGTTTACTGTGGAAATTGGTTGGCCTAATGGCTGGAAAGGTTGTGCGTAATATGACATTGGAACGTTTGGTGCAGGCGAAGACAGGGTTATCTGTTGTGCAACCCACTGCCGAAAACATTAGAAACACACGAGCAACGTATAATCACAGTATCTATATTGCCCACCTTTCTTCGTGAAGCAAAGTGGTTAAAGAGTAGTCACGGTTGACGGAAAGGAAACGCTACTAAGAGCAGCAGGAAGGAACAAAAGGAGGGGAACTAGCCAGACGGTCAGCTCGGCTCCTTAAGAGCTCTCCGCCGCATGTACGACTCCATAGAGCTCAAAATTAGGCGCGCACGTCGGTCCTGAGCAACATCGTTCACGGCCCAAGCACATATCAGTTATGATGTGTAGAACGGCCATAGCGTGTGTGCACGCTATGGCCCGGTATTCAATCCTCCCGACACGAGTCGCGGCTTGGCTTGCTGTATTTAGTTATTGGCCGCGACTTCCCGAGCCCTGCGTCGGTCCCGTGTAGATGGGGAGAGCACAGCACGAAGGATCCCTTTGTCGAGGCAGGACAAACTTCATCAGAAGAACTTCTAAGGAAGGCAAGTTAAGCGACCAGTGCTAATAAAACCATGGCAGGAAATCGCCTTCAACAGATGCAAAATCGGCGTCGCGGAGAATCGGCCGCCTCGGAACGCTGAAATCCATTCACTTGAAGCATGCACTCTGACACTACTGTGTTTCACCGGTTCGCGCTCAGTTACCAGTTAACGCTCAGTTGTACAATACCCCCCTCAATTCTTAGTTAAATTTCTTGAAATTCTACATACAGGTAGCCTACAGTAGATATAACTTAAATACGAAATTTGAGCAAAAAACAATGAGTTGAAGCTGAGATATTAGTGTTGGAATGTTAGAATTTTATGATCAACACTGATTTAGTGAACAGAAAGTTTTCCCACACACAACACATTTAATATTAATTTAAGGAGACACTATTTGTAGCTGAAATTTTTAGAATGAGTACTATATTATATGTAGTCACTATATATTTTTTATATAATTAATAGTTAAGTATTAAGCTACTTATTAAGAATACAATTTTAAGTCCAATTTTACTATTTTCTATAATACAGAATTTATAGTTATAACTTACGAATTTTTTATTACAATAATTACTATTATAACTATATATAAAAATTTGGTACTAGTATTCTTTACATATTTTCTATAATATTCTATAATTTTAAGAGAAAATACTGAGAATTAAAATTATCATAATTAAATCAAAACTATATATATAAAAAGTACTATAATCTACTATATTACTTATTAGTACAATTTTTATAGTTAAAAAAAATTGTAAAACATATGTATGTTAGAGGTTATATGTTTCAGTATTAAGTGATCACCATAGCAACTGACATAGTACAGAAAAAAAAGAAGAGAAGTTTTTTTCTTTTTCTTTACATTCATTATTATCTTCTCTTCCCTTCAAAATCCTTTATTCTTCTTTGCTTCTTATAGCTAGAAAGCTTTTATTACCAGTAGTAAAGCCCTCTCTGATATAGAGGAGGCTAAGCTAAGTCAAGCTGTTTAGGCAGTTTTAGTATCTGGTACTTATCCTAATTCTGCTAGATTTATTCTTTCTAAATCAGCTACTATAAAGCAATTTGGTGTTT